TTTCACTTTTCATCAAATTCAAGTCTACAAAAAAAAAAGAGTGAATCTCACTTACATTTTCCCTATTTTCTGTCTTAATATTTGTGGGAAGTTAATAAAACAAATGAATTAAGATTAACAAAATAGCATAATCCAATTGCTACAATACAAATTAATTAAGGTATAGTTGTAAAGTCAGGATGAACACTACAATACACAACAATACGTCAATGAATTCATAGGAACATGATGACAGTAAATAACCTAAAACAAATTTAAAAAATAAATAAATAAATATGCTGACGAAAGAAAATAAAATATTTCTCATAAGAAAATCACAACTATGGTACTATTTAGAGATTGTATAGAAATAACAGTACACAACTTTAAATAAATCTTAAATCTACCAGTTAACAAAGTCAAAAATCCTGTGCGTAGTGCATGCAAAACCATAGTATTATATATATACTAGATCCTTTTTCCGGGCTACGCCTGGAAATTCTTTTACGCAAAAATGCCGTGCCATTATGTTTTTGTTAAAAAGTGATGTTGTATAAATAATATTTGGCAACTCTACGTGTGGTGTTCCAGTATGTTAGGTATATGCATTGTAGATTCCCTAAACCATAATACAACTAAACCAAATTAGAATAATAGTTTGAATATTTAATTAAATCAATGTTTATTAAACATAGGACTGTTAGAAAAAAGTAGCAACACATACATGTAATGCAAAATAGTCAATACATAAACATCTATTTACTCAGTTTTTTAAAAAAAGGGTAAACTGTTACAATAATTTAATACAATTATTACTCAATGAGATTCTAGTTGTTGATTAAATAATTTATCACCCAGATATAACAAATTTTGTGTTGTGGTTTTATTTATATTGTAGTTGTTATGTAAGCGATTATGCACTAAATCAGAATATGTAACTGAGGTTTTTCTCTTATAACAAAACAATATAGAAAACCACGATAAGCTATTTAAATAATCATGGAAGCTTCTCAACTTTGTCTTTTGAGTGTGATTTAAGTGGGTTATCAAATCTGAGGCTCCTTTTCTAACCTGGCAAGGTTATGACTGATATGTTTTTTTTAAGTTTTGACTAAACAGTTCAGGTGCTTCTAAGTTTTCATTTTATTTTGCCTCTCGTGTAGCTTCAGGTGTGAGTAGTGACACTCAAGAAACTTATTCTGAAGGAAAATGTTTTTCCTTGGCTGTTTTAAATGGTTCATTCAGAACCGTTTATTGTGAGGTTGACATTGCTTCCAGTGTCTAAACATAATAATAGTCGTTTTCACCTCCTATTAATGAGGTTTATGACAATTCATCGGTTGCTTGCACTAATACATTGTGTATGTTTTCTCTAGTCAGGTGCGTCTATATAATTTTGTTAAATTATAAATGTGTAAAATAATGTAATTTCGATTTATTGTGTATTCCATTATATAAATTATATTTATTTTAGCTATTTATATTTTATTATAAATATTTTTAAAAATTATGTTTTGGCTACTTGTTTTTTTTTGGTTGTGGTTTCCTATTAAATATTTTAAATTTATCAAATGTTACAAAAAAGTAATTTATCAAATTTGAATTTGGTGCGGTAAAGGATAAACCTCAATTAGATTCATTCATTTTTTGTCTTTGGCTTGAATTTGATGGATTTGGGAAAAAATCTTATCACATCAATAACTGTTTTCTATTAAATATTTAATTTATCAAAATGTTACAAAAAATATTTTTTTCAAACATAAATATTTTTAATTTAATATTTAATTTATCAAATGTCACAAAAAAATATTTTTTGAATTTGAATTTGGTGAGAAAAAGGATAAACATCTATTAGATTCATTCATTTTATTTGGCTTGAATTTTATGAATTTGACAAACATTTATCACAACAATGACTATTTTATAATATAAGCAGAAGTTGTTTAATTTGTTTTACACTATTTTCTGGTTTTATAAGAAGTGAAAAGAATAAAAACGGTTAACTCATTATTTAAACTCACTTTGGTGTTTAGAGAGAGGCGAAGTTTTTATTAAATTTGCTTAGATGAATAGGAATAAGAGCACGATATAAAAAACCTCTATGAAATTCTCAACAACCTTTGTCTCCACTTTAGAAAACGCAGATTTGTAGACCAGTGATCATCTTAATGGCTAATTGCAGCAGAGAGACATCTTCTGTAGCTTAACACAACTTCTGGCTTCTGGCTTCTGGATCATTCTCATCTCTATTTCTCTTCCTCGACCTTCCCCAACTCAGTACTCCACTTGATTCCAACATTCTCAATCTCTTCCCATGCTTCTTCTCTTGTTAATGCAAGAGAGATTGAAGCCTCTGGTGTCTTGCTTGTGCTCAGGTTCCCAAGTTCAGATTTCTTCAAAAGATAACCAAAAAAAAATAAGTAAATGAAATTTTTTCAATTACAGTAACATATACAGATTTCCTGAATCTTGTCGGCAAGTTCGAACAGTGTCAGACCCTTGCTTCCCTCAAGAGACAGAACATGCAAGGCTGAAAATTTGACAGTTCCAGGTGTCAACCGATGCTTGGACTTGTGCGGAGCCAGTAACCCTTTCTCCAGAATTGATGCAAAAGCAAATTCAACTGCTGAACCACTGCGAATAGTAGAAATGATATCTTCACAACCTTTAGTCTCCACACACAAATAATGGGAACCTAAACAGCAAACAAAATATAGAATACAAAAAACATCATACACCTACGGTAGATTATAATTGTATGTTATATGTATGACCTACCACTGAAACATATAACTTTGTAGATTAGCTGACTCTTAAATGAATACTATAAGAATTCTATCTACTTACATCTTTCCGATTAACCAAGCCTGCATTGTTGCCTCCATCGGCCCAGAGCCTTTCAACTACATCAAGTATTTTCATATTAACCCTTACTTGGTATTCCCAAGTGTATCCAATGCCTGTTCAAGTTACGTTTTAGAACATTTAAAAAATAATAATACCAGAAAGGAAAATCAAACCAGAATATATAAAGAGCAAAGATATCAATGTACCTCAAATACTCTTAGAAGAGTAATGTGTATCTCCCCCATCAATCTTGAGTCCTAAAATAGGATATGTATATATATATATATATATCAAATACAGAGTAAGAACAATGGAATGAAAGAAAGCAATGAGATCCCAGATGAGTACTAAAGAGGGACTTACATAGTCATGAAAAGCCTGAATACTAACATAAAGGTGAGTGTTGTCCATATGATTACTACCAGGCCCGTATTATAAGTTATAACAAAAGAAGAAAAAAAAAAGGATATTAATGCTTAATGGGGAGATCTGATAGCATGGGAAACCAACTTACCGATCTTTGGGAACATAGCACCAATAGTCTCCTCAGACACTGGAGCGGGGGAATTCAAACATATGTTGACCTCTAAATGAATTGAAGAAATACGATGAAGCAGCAGATCTCCTTGAATCTAACAGAGAGATATGCACACGGTAAGTGAACGAACAATGCCAAATTTTGAATGTGAATCTTCTGTAGCATGACCAAATATCCTTGAAACGAAGCTACAGAAAGAAGATATAAGTTTTACCTTGTCAGACTAATACATATATCCCCAGAACCAAAAATCAGAAAATGATATTAGGAATCTCCAAACCTTAAAAGAAACCAAAGTTATTCTGTTATACTAATTTCAAGTAAGAGGTAGCATACGCAGAGAGTAACGGTTAATCGAGCATACCATAAAAAGGTTCCCAACATTTTCCTCAGAATCTTTCCATGGAGAAAATGTAAGCGGCATTTTCAGTTGCAAAGCCTTTGGTGGAAATGTGCTCAAAGAATCTGAAAAGTAGAATATCTGCTATAAACTGCAAGATCTCGACTGAACTTATTATGGTTGTTGCTAAATCAATTTCACCACGGCTTGGAAAAGAGATCATACCTCTATACAGTTCAAGGTTCTGCAACGTATCATGATCAAGCTGTAACACCGAGGACAATCCTTTGCTAGTAGCAGCCAAATCCATCAGTTCTAGCTGCTTGTCTTCAATTAAATCCATAGACTCTCTAGCAATTCTACGTGCATTAGCCTTCTCAATGGCAACCTTGCGTCTTATAGCATCTCCCGGCGAGTCTAATTTTTATTTATTTTGTTTCTCCGTCTGTTAACATTCGAACAGAAAAGATAAGTCTAGTTTTCTATACTCTTGCTACAAAAATTTTTTATAGCAGAAAGAAGTAAACCGTACCAAACATCTTTTGGTATAAACAGAAAGAACCCGTACCGTTGACATCGAGGAAGCCGTGCGTAATCAACGCCGCCAGCTGCATAGCATCAGAATAAGGCTTTGAATTGGAGATACCTCCACCGATGTTGCCTGTCATCTGCTTGTACAAACCTACAGTTTCCTGCTCGTGAATTTTCAGCTAATCGAAATGATAATCGTCACCACTTGTCTTACCTAGCTACAAATGTCATCAGAGAACTCCCTCTCAAGGGCACTGGTGGTAGATCGTACCTGTGCGAGAGGAACCCATTAAAGAGGGATTCATGGCAAGGGGGTGGAGTGAAGGACTGGTGTCTATGAAACGACTTCGGTCGAGAAATTGAAAGTCTAGAAATCGAATCGCCATAGAAGAAGAAAGAAGAGGCGAAGAAAACGCAGAGAGAATAAAATGACGTGGCAGAATAAAATGTTTTTATTGACTGAATATAATAAATGACGTGGATAGCTTAAAATCTCTAGAATAAACCCTTTTAATTATAGTAGATATATGATAAAGCTCATATAAGATTAGACAAATGACGCTAGTAGTTGATGTATAGCTGAAGGTGATGCAAAGTAAAATTTCTCGTGAAGCTTTTAATATTTTATAATATTTAAATACAAATTTATTTTTTTTTTTGGTAGGAAAATACAAAAATGTTTTAAAACAGTTATTACTAATATTTATCATAAATACAGAAATAACAAAAAAAGATAAAATCAAACGGCATCTTGGCGGAAAGAAGATGGAGACTGCCGCGAGCTTGGCTTGGGGATGGTTCGACGAAAGGAAACGACGAGTGAGTTACGTCTACGAGCCATGCATCGGCGAAGGAAATGGACGGGAAGCCCTACAGATCAGCACGACTCACAACCTCATCCGCAGCTATGACCTTCACCGTCACATGGAATTCATCCGCCCTAGACTCGCAGAATATTCAGATCTCACTTTATTCCACTCGCCGGACTACATATCATTCCTCCGCTCAGTCACGCCGGACTACGTCGACGCGGCTAGGTCCAAAGCCCTAACCGATACTTCACTCAAGCGCTTCAACTTAGACGAGTGGGACTCCCCTGTCTTCCGTGGCCTCTTCGATTATTGCCTTATATACGCTGGTGGTTCTATTGGAGCCGCCGGCAAACTGAGCCGAAACGAAGCTGATATCGCCATCAATTGGTCCGGCGGGAGGCACCGTGCAAAGAGAGATAAGGCTTGTGGCTTTGGCTATGTCAACGACGTTGTGCTTGGGATCCTCGAGTTGCTCAAGGTCTTCAAGGTAACTAACTACTTCTTTGATTCTTGAATCTTAATGTTTCTTGGTTCGCAAGTAAAGGGAACCTTCTACTTGAGTGAGTTAGTAACTTTTGCCTCTGAATGGTTTCTTGAATTTTGATTAAGCGTTGATAGTTGAATCTTTGAGATATAGAGAACCTTCTAATTTACTTAGTAACTTTGCCTCTTCTACATGAGTTGGTAACTTCACTTTTCAAAATGACTTTGGTTTTGCCAGCGAGTGCTCTACATAGATATCGGCTATTACCATGGGGATGCAGTACAAGAAGCGTTCAACAAAACCGACAGAGTTATGACTCTTTCTTTCCACAAAAGAACAGGAGATATAACAGACTACGGGGTAGGAAAGGGAGAGTACTATTCTCTAAATGCACCACTGAAGAATGGTTTGAACGATGTAAATTTCACCACTTTATGCGTACCTGTTATCCACAAGGCTATGGAGGTTTATCAACCAGAAGCAATTGTTCTTTTGTGTGGCCCTGATTCACTAGCTGGTGATGAGTTGGGTAAATTCAACTTGACTATCAAGGCTCACGCTGCTTGTCTCCGGTTCATAAGATCATTTAATGTTCCTCTCATGCTCTTTGGTGGTCAAGGTCACACCCTTGGAAATGTTGCCCGTTGCTGGTGCTATGAGGTCTCTTTAGTAACTTCAGTTACATTCGTACAAGTTCTGTTCTTGAATGGTGTTTTTTTTTTCTGTTTCCCTTGGTGCAGACGGCTGTTGCGGTTGGAAAAGATCTTGACGACAATCGCCCTATGAGAGTGGACGACGAGTGTTTTGCCCCACATTATCAACTTCATATCGAGCCAAACCCCATGGAGGATTTAAACACAGACAAAGATATTGAAAAAATAAAGTAATCTTCTCATTCCTGTTTACTTCATTGCCTAGTTAGTTCAAAAGATGTATCATGAAATACACAACTTATCCTCTTTGGCAAATTCCTTGTCCCTCTGTTATCTAGTCATAGACCTCTTAAGTCTTAAAAGTGTTTGTTCCTTTAATTATAGGAAGACATTACTGACGCAACTTTCGCAAGTGATACACGCACCTAGTGTGCAGTTCCAAGACACTCCACCAATCACTCAAGTTACAGAAGCAGTAAGAATAATTTATGCATTGATGTTACATCCTTTCTCAGTTCCAGGTTAGGTTGTTTTTTTACCTATGAGGCCCTTTAAGATTCTCATTTCATATTTGCAGGCGGAAGAGGAGATGGATACGAGACAAAGTCAACATATAATGTGAATCAGACTCTGACAAGGACATGTTTTTTCTCGGTTTAAGGCCAATGGCGTAGTGTCATAGTACAAGGATTCTTTCATGCTTTACCTCCTTGTGAATAGATTTACCAACATGGGCATATAGAACAATAGGTGTATAAACATAGCACCATTACTAATACATAAACCCAACATTGTAAATAAGAGTTATGAAATTCAAACAACAGATTGTTGTCTGCTGTCTCTAGAACCACCATCACGTCTCAGCTTTAGTGTATTCCTTGATCCTGGTGAAAGCTCTACCTTCATTTCTTAGCCTGTAGTGTAACATGTTAGAATCAGAGTTATCAGTTGGAAACTATAGGATTACACGTGATCAGTTAACAAGATACAATGTCTACGAGTTATGAAGATAGGTTCAAGAATCCGACTATGGATCCCTCAGAAAGATTTAAGTTTTGTTTGGTGCAACATTAAGAACACAATTACCTTAAGGCGAGCAGAACGTCGAACTGAAGAAGAGGGTGCGGGAGACTGAAGTGGGGAATGGCTAGATCTTTTGTATCGCCGATTCACTTGAACCTCAGGTACCTTGTTCTCTGGAGTTAACATGTTTGTGTCATTGGTGGTAATTGACATAGCTGGAGCTGAAGCAGATATGATGGAAGTTTCCTGCGGCAGATTTTCTGAATGTGTTGGCAGCTCTGAGAAGTCAAATAAAAAAAAAAAAACACAAGTCTTGTTCAAATCCAAAATACATACATCCAAACTAGATACAGTATCCGACTTAAAGGGTCTGAGGATGAGAGTCATATATTTACCAGAAAAGGTAGCATTCTTAAACTTATTCCTCATCAGACGAACAAATCCAAAGAGGTCATTGGTTTTATTCAGATCTTGAACCATCTCATCAATGTCATCTAGTTGCGAGTTGCAATCCAATACTGATGATCAAAGATTGACCACACTTCTTGTTACTAAACACTTTGTAAACACTAAAATGTAGTTGATGTGCCTGGCTTCAGTAAGAAATGTGTATACTCACGTGTGTAGATGTCATTTCCATAGTGAAGTGTGAATGAAAACTCGCGTGTAGGGCTTTTTGCATCAATGTTCGTGAATGTAAACTTAACTCCTGAAAAATAAGTAAAACGACAAGATTGTCTACAGTCAAACTTTAATAGTAAAGAGCAGCTAGGACTGTTTAATAAAATCAAAAGTTTCTTTCTCTTCTTACCATGCCCAGCTTCAACGTGAAAACCAAGAGACTGGTTATACCAAGAGATGGCATCATTGACATGGGATTTATCTTCCGTGGCCTTACCAGCACTGTCATTGTATACTGCTAAGCCTTTTATTTGACGAGAAAACGTAGAAAGATGTTAGCTTGGTACTTTTCAAAGATCACTCTTATGAGCGTGTGTAGCTGAGTCATGGTGAAAATTACAATACACACTAATGAGAGAAAGCTAACAACACCTTGCAATCTATGGGAGATAGTTTTGGCATGCTCTTCCCGCTTGGAATTCTGTAACTGCAGAATCCTTCTAAGCACTTGGATTCGAGACTGTGTTGCGGAAATGGAGTCCCTTAACCCCATTTGCTTTGCCTCTTCACGGGTTTTCACTAAAAACATCAAATATATATATAAAAGATGCAAAGATTCCAAACTTTAAGATATCCAAGAGGGTAAGCAAACCATGATACTACTGACCTAACAAGAACATAGTAAAGAAAATCAAGGATAAAACTTTTCAATAAGAATGTTATGTTAAAACAATATCATCCCCAAAGTTATAAGCTTTTTGGTATATTCATAAGCTTTTGGGTAATTATCTCCACATTGAGACTTCAAAGTTATAAGCTTTTTGAGTAATTATTTCCACTTTTAGACTTGAAAGTTATAACCTTTAGGTAAAGGAAGTGAAGCTGATACCTGCCAACACTTTAACGAGCTCATCCTCTGCTTCTCTCAGATTGGCTTTCATATTCGCTAGTTCCACTACAAAAACCAAAGACATAAAAACCCTAATTTCACAGAGACAGAACCGAAACCCAAAAGATGTTGCCAAATTAATGACTTACAAAATCAAATTTTAAAAATATAACCTTGGCTTTGTGCAGTGGCTTTAGCTCGATCCAGTACAGAGTCGAGGGATCTCTGGAGCGGAGAAGCTATGAAAGAATCGATTTTAAGGCGCAGTTCATCAATATCTTTCTCACACATCAGTCCCAGAGACACCATGGTCTTCTTCTTCTTCTTCTTCTTCCTTGTATCACCACCTCCTCCTATATCGCTAATCTGTTCCATCACCTAGAGAGAGAGAGAGAGAGAGAGAGAGAGAGAGAGAGAGAGAGAGAGAGAGAGAGAGAATGTTCGAGATTCTATCCCGCCATTTGATTTGAGTTTCGAAAAGAAGACCTTGAAACGCCGCTTTGCTTTTTGTTACTATGGCCAAACTTTTGGGCTCATTCATAACTATATCCTTGAAAGAATATACTAATGTAGGCCCATTGTTGGCTTCTGATTTTTGTTTTCTTCCGATTACACTTTTTGCATAAGCTAATTTCTATGTAAAATGCTGAAAATTGAATCTAAGAACTAATTGGAACTTAGAAAGGTGATTCTTAAATGATTATTTGAATTTTCTTATTACACATACATAATTATTTGAAATACTCTGTGTAATACTTAAAAGAAGACTTATTCTTGAGAAACCAATATAATTATATTATAATTATATATTTAATATTTTCAAAAATAAAAATAAAATATTGTCAAATTATATTATGTTTTTAAAATAAAAAAATAAAAAATAGTAATAGTTACAATTTTTTTTTTTACATTTTCAACGCCGTCAGCAAAACACTAACCCTTAAATCATAAACATTTGGATGAATCTTAAGTCTTCGGATAAATCCTAACGCCTAAATAAAAAATACTAAATACTAAATCTTAAAAACACTAAACCCTTAATCATAACACCTAAACCCTTGGATAAAGAATAAACTCTTGGATTTAGTGTTTAAGAATTAGTGTTTAGTATTTTGTTAACAGTGTTAAAAATATTTTAAGTTTTATTTATTTTTTTCTAAGTGCTTCGGGGTTAAGATTAAGGGTATAGTGTTTTAAAAATTTATTTTTTTGATTTAATGTATAAGATTTATCTAAAGGTTTATGGTTTACCCAAGAATTTATGGTTTATCCAAAGATTTAGGATTTTAGGTTTTAGTGTTTAGTGTTTTTCTGACGCTGTTGAAAATATTAATTTTTTTTTTGACAAATGTTACTATTTTTATTTATTTTTATCCTTTATAGTTTGAAAAATTATATAATATTTGCTTTTCATTATGTTTTTAAATATTTAATAACATAACTCTATTGGTTGGTGAAACTAGAGTTTTAACTATTTTAGAACTCTATTGGTTGGTGTTTGAACTGAGTTAAATGATCGACGAAAACTCGTCGGTGGGTTATTTCGAAGGTGTAAACGAGCAGATGAGAATAAGAAGAGTATTATTAATCAAAGAAAGAACGAGTACAGAGAGAACTATGGTGCTCGAAAGCTAACCGGAGTTGTACGGACTGATCTAAGAGCAACAAGATGAGTGAAAACCTTAGTTTAGCTGCCGCCTAGTCAATTTATTTTCCGATCCCCCTCTAAGTTCGATCTTCCCTCGTCTTTATAGGGTGCTGTACGGGCAACCCTAATGGATCGCGTCCTTTGTCTCGTGGGCATTTAGGCGGGCTTCTTCTTCTTACTCGGTACGGACGGGTGACGTATGCTCGGCTTTGACTTCCTTGTCGCCTTGCATGCTTGACTCCTTCCCGTGTAATCGGGCTGAGCAATGGGCCGTGACATTTATTCGATGGCCCTTGGGGAGAGGATAAAATCCATCTCATACAATAAGTCCCCCCCCCCAGTTCACTATGATTGCTGCGCGTGCTTAGTGAAGTGAATTTGAAATGGTCGTGAGAATAAATGAGTCGGCTCCGAAAGTCCTCGTCCACTCGCTTCCCTTATCGGGGAACCGGTTTATCCTGACCAAGAATGGTTTATTTTGGCTTTCGGAAACTCGGTTTCCCTCGGGAAGCAGAAGAGACGCGGGCCAGTTTACGCGTATTGGGCGGCAAATAGGCCTCATAGACCTAATGATGGCTATTGCGTTGAAACGCGCGTTCCCCCCTTTCCTTCTCATTTGTTCATTTTTCATCGCTTCTCACAGGTATTCTCTCTCTCTAGTTCTCTCTCTTTATCACATTATAGTTAGGCTTTGTTGATGTCTTCGGGTAGACGCCTGACGGCAGCGAAGAAAGGTAGATCAGTAATCACTAGTTCAGCGGTTCCTGAGAAGCGAAAAATCGATACCCGACGTGTGATCGAATCCGAGTTGGCACACCAAGAGGCTTTGCGGGATATGGAGGGACTAAATCTATCACAATAACTGCTCATCATGGTCAATTCCGAGAGACTCAGACGAGGCGAAGAGGATATTGGGATCTCGTCGGTCGGTCGATCTGCGAGTGTGGAGGTCAGAGGGGGTCCGAACGGTTCTCGAGTAAGGGACTCACCTGGTAATTCTCTCCCTTCAGCCGATGAGCCGATGACCCCTATTCACTTTTCCCTGGAGGTCTGTTCGAAAAATTGCCAGCTCTCCATCCCGAGCTTTCTCGTCCGTCGGTGGTCGGAGGACAAGATTTGGAGAATTTCCTTCCGACCAAATCGTCGGTCGGTACTGTTAAGAAAATTCTGAGAGAGCGAGGAGGCCAGGGGGTTACATTCATTATCCCGAGTGCTAAACAGAGGCCGTGAACTCCTTCGATTGGGTATCAATGCGTCTACGAATCGTATTTTCAGAGGGACACCAAGCTTTGGTTTCCGATACCGCGATTGGTCACCGCTTACTATTTTCGTCGGGACGCAGCAATTTTGCAGTGTATCAATGGCTCGTTCCGGATAGCGGTGGGTCTTATGGTGTTGGCCGCGGAGAGAGACTTGTCGTTGAGTGTTCGGGCCTTTGAGAAGCTCACGCCGGTGTCAAATATAAAGAATGGCTTATTCTCTGTGAAGATGCGATCCGGTTTAGGCATCTTGCTCAGCCCTCCAAACAAAACCGACGAATGGAAACGTTGGTATTTCTATGTTAAGTCGGATGACAGCGCGTTTGAAGAGCCTCCGGGCGAGGACTAGAGGGTCCTATGGAACCCGAGCTTTGGTAGAATACTTCGCCAAATAGGTTTGTGTTTGTTCTGTGTCTAACCCGCTGTTCTCGTCTTTGGTTTTGTTATTGCAGTTCCGAACTCGAACACAAAGGATTACCCCGAGGACTTCCTCGACGTTGCCCAAAAACTTGCTCGCGCTAATCCTCTTTGTTGGACGACTGTTTTGTTCTTGTGGATCGACTGATTAAAGCCTCGTATAACTCAAGGTATCATTCCGCCTGTTATCTGTAGACATACTTTTGTATACATGTTGTCTAGGAACTGAGGATTTCAGATTGTTTCATGTTTCCTTTTTCTTTGTTCGTTCCAGGGGATTCGAGGTCTGATTTGCATGCTTAGGTTCGGGGTCGCGGCCGGTTACCTATCTTCCCCAAAGAGACTTCTCCTTCATCAAGGAAAGGAAGTAAGAAGAACATGAGGGATATTCCAGACCTTTGCGATATTATCGAGGGGGAGATCGAGGAAGTGGGTGATGTTTGGAGATTTTACATATTCTATTCATCATTTCCTTGCTCATTTCAATCATTTTATCTTCATTTAGAGTCCCTTTAAGTGCATAGCATATGCATGTGTGTTATTTCAGGTATGGAGAAGCTCAGGTTGAAGATTAAAGGGTTTAGTCAAGGAAATAGAGCACACCAAGTATTCTCTGAAGGCATACCGCGGAAATGTCCCGCGGGCCAACGCCAGGCCGCGGTTTACGACCCAAGAGCTTCTATTTCCTCACCTTCGACCGCGGACGAATCCCGCGGACTACGTCAGGCCGCGCCTTCCCACGACTTGAGCACCGCGGATGACACTCGTGGGCAATGCCAGGCCGCAGATCTGAGCCCGAGAAATCAAGATGGGGAGCATCAGGCCGCGGACCTTGGACGCGGGTAAGGCCAGGCCGCGGTCGACTCCGAGATTAAGTTTCCCATTTGTTTCTTGGGTCAAACTTGGGTTTGTCGGGCTGACCCGGTTTAAGTTTTAAGCTACTATAAATACAATCTAGACCTAATTTTTAGAATATCTTCTTTTCTCTCTAAGAACACATTGAAACCTTGAAGAAAGATTGAATCTTTAGTTTCTTTTTTTCTTATTTCTTTGTGATTGTTTGATTCAACTTGCTTCTCAACATGATTTCTCTTAAATCAACCATGGGTTTAAGGTTAATCATGAAGATTAGTGAGTAGACTCCTTTTGGATTCATGGGCTAGAGTGATTAACGGTGATTAGAGAAGATCTAGGATGTTTAGTGCTAGATTTACTTGTTTCCTTGCTTGTTGAGGGTTCTCAATGTCATTTTAGTCTTGATCATACTAAAATGGATCTCTAGGCATTTCCTGCCCACAAGGTGTATGATGAAATGCCTGAACAAACTCTTCAATGCTTTTAACTTGCTTTACCTAAGAGATTAGTTGCTAAAGAAGTTAAGATTGCCATTAGACTTGTTCTCCATGTTTGCTTTAGTAACATTCAACCTAAGAGATTAGATGCTTGAGTTGCTTTAGTAAAAGAACATTCATCTAGATATAGAGCTTGTTTAGGATTGTATCTAGGCATAAGGAAAGTGTATGATTGCTAGCTTGCCATCTTTAGATTGGATCTACATCCCAAGATCAAATTTCTAGTCCCATGAGTCCTCTTGCTTGATTTTGAGAAAGAAAGATCATCCCTTTATTGCATTTTAGTAGTATTCTAGTTCAATATCATCTCACTTATTGGTTGCACTTAGATTGAGCATAGTCTTGCATTCCCTTTACTTTAGGATCACTTAGAATTGGTTCAACATCTCTTATACTACATCATTTGATAAGGAGCTTTGAAAACTCCTAACATTAAATTGGCGCCGTTGCCAAAATTTTAGTTGATTTTGACATTGGGATTTAGTCACTTGCTTGAAACTAAGTCAATTTTTTTTTATTTTGTTACTGATTCTCCTTCTTCCTCTCCCTTTGCATTTCAGGTGTATGAACTTTAGGAGCAGAGGTTCATAAAGCCTAGTCCCAAGAGTTGAAGATATAGCTACAATTGAGAGGAAGATAGTAAGAAAGAGAAGAGAGGAAGAGCAACATGCTCACATACAGATACTGGGTTTTGAAATGGAGCACAATAAGAATCAGCCTCAACATGTGCAATCTAGACATAAACAATAAAAATCTGTGTGGTTAGAATGTTCCACAAGTTTTTATTCGGTTACCGAAAGAAAACATTTATAATGTCAAAAAGTTATTTAATAATGACTTTTTTCATTCCACTCTGTCGCTCGTGAAACATATCTTTGTGAAAAGAGAAATTAAGGATCTGAATGGTATCCACGGATTTGGTAATATAAATGGTGCAGAATGAATGTGCGGGACGGTTCATGCGGTTTATGCGTTTTGTGGGATAAGTGCGGTTCTTATAAAATTAGCGGTGTGGAATTGTGTTTAATTGGTGAAAATATGGTTTGCGGAATTGAACAAATATTTTAAATAATATTAAACATATATATTAATAAAATCAATACACTTTTAAAGTAAAACTGTTTAGAGTTATTGGTACAAATTTTTCTTCATTGTTTAGAAACTTTAAATACAAAAAATCATCTAAATTACAAATTTAAAATTATATATAAAAATTAAAAACCTTAAGTAAAATACAATGAAGATATTATCGTTTTATACAATTTAAGATCACCAACCAGTTGTGTTTTCATAAATATAGTATTATTTATAAATGTGAATAAGATTTTTGGTTTCATCAAAATGGTGTATACTTCTGTTAGAATAATTTACTAACATCATTCCTAATCAATTTTACTAGTTATGCTAGATTACTACAATACTTTATAGATTGAGTATATTAAATTTTATGCAATATTATTTGCTATATATATATTATATAAAGCGAAAATCACATATGTAAAAATCTGTATATTCCTTTAGTCAAACAAATCTGTATATCAATTCTTGATGAGTAAAAAAGATAAGAAGTCTTTAAAAAAAATCAGCTACACATACAAAAAAAAAGAAAATAGAAGCATGAGTTAAAGTTATTTCACGTAGTTCTAGCAATATATAGGTAGAATATAGGAAGGAAAATAGTAAAAAAAATATTTATTGTTACTTTATAAAGGCGTTTTTAGTGAACTGCGTGCTTTTATACAGTATTTTCATGGCCGACCCGGATTCGCGGTCGGACCGTTAAATCCGGTGACTCGGTAAGTAATCCGGTTTGGATAAAAGAAATATTCACTAATTAAGAACCCGATAAAACCCACTAAAAATCTTTAAACTCGGTGACCCGAGTGTCCATTGAACTATCGGATGAACAAGTGATTAATTTTTATTTAGTTTTTTCTTTGATTTCTAACTACTTTATTAAATCTTTTTCATTGCTATCACATATATTTTATATCTTCTTCAATTTTCTTATAAACCTTTTGTTGATTTCGTTTATAGTAAATAGCATTTGTTTTAACCTTCTAGATTTTAACTTCTATCATATAAATCATATGCTTTTATTTTTTTATTGACTATAAATGTTTCTAAATAAATATCTTTTTTTGAATCATTGGTTGGTGATCTCAACGAATTTAAGAAGACATTGATCTTATGCATTCTTAGACTAAATAAGATCTTTGTGATTTATTATAGTTTTCCGGGAATTGTCAAAATCAACGGATCACTAATTCTATCCTATAAAGCTATTCCGCTACATTAGTTGGTATCAGAGCCCATGACTTTGATTTTCTAAGTCAAACCACATCCTTGGTATCGATTTTATTTTGTTATTTTGCTTTTTCTATGGATGCTGGTGGTGAGTCATGGATCCACGGTAAAGAAGACGCTTGGGTGTCGCTTGGATGTTTTTATCAAAGGGATGAATATCCTTTTAATTCAACCGAAGATTTGTACGGAGAGTACAAAGAAATTTTGGGTCCTGGGATCTATGATAATTATGCTGAAGACATGATCTTAGTCCAGCACGTAGATTTCATATTTTGGAAAGATGCATTCAAGACAATAGAAGTCAACGTGAGAGATTCCATTGTTTTTTTTTTTTGTCAGCTGAGAGATTCCATTGGTGTTATCAAAAGCGAGACTTCAAAATATAACCATGAAGAAGATGATGGGACACGTGCATTACAAGAGTCTTGGGAATCATGTGACTACTCATATATCACTAGATTAATGGGTAAAAGGGCGTGTGACTTTACGGTGGAGTCGGAGAAAGTCATGAATGATATTATTGAAGAAATATTCATCAAGATGAATATCAAAAGTTGTTTAGGAGTGTTTCCAGTTTGGGGTCATCGATCAAAGAGACTAACACAAAAGGAACATTTACAAAAGAACAAGATTCGCAAATCTTCTCTAACCCGAAAAAAATGATGCAGATAAATATTTAGAATATTTCCAACTATCTTATTATTTATTTTATTAGTTATTTTAAATTTAGATAATTATTTTTAATGTTTTAGAGTTTTATGGTTTTTATATATATAGTCGCTTAGGTTTTGTATGCAGTTTATAATTTGATTAATAAAAGTTGAGAGTTTTCTGTTTATTTCTTATTTTCGGTAGATCATTGGTGATCTCAACGAATTTAAAAAGACCTTAATTTTAGACATTCTTAGATTAAATAAGATATTTGTTATTTATTATAGTTTTTTCGGTATTCTCAGAATCAACCAGTGATGCAGCTTCAAATTTTAGGGAAGTCAGATATTGGACTTTGGCCCACATCTAAAATAAATTATAGGAAAATAGTAAAAAAATAATGTCAAACAGATTTGAACCAGAGATAAGGTGTGACAATAGAGGAGAAAACTACCTAACAGAACTGCTGAATCCACACATTACATAACTAAACCCCCGAAACTATATATTTAACCTGATGCAACTACAAACCTATTTTCTAACGTAGGTCCGCCACTGGAATCAACGGATCACTAACTCTATCCTATAAAGCTTCAGCTACATTACATGTGTTTTGCAATGTTGCAAATTGTTATGAAGCTCACCATGAAATTAATGGAGGACAAGAGGACTAACATTTTGGTCATTTCTGGAAATTATGACCTGATGTATCCGATCAAGGGATATAGACAAATGGATGTATTTATGATGTTGGCTGTACCTGAAAGCTCGTCACCAAGCTTCTACCACTGTGCCAACGTGACTTGGCTTTGGGCTTCACAAGATCCTCAGAGAGCTTCTGCTACGATGATCAATGGAGGTGGACCTATCCCTCCTGTCCCACCTGTTAGAGGTATATAGTAATCTAATAGATTTTGTAGTTTTAATAGTATCTCCTAACATAACTTCTCACGTTTTCATTCTTTTTTTTTTTTTTTTTCTTTTGCAGTATGCGTTACCAATATGGTGGTAGATATAACATGAGCTCTTCTTAGTTTGGTAATATCATCTGTTTTAGTTTCAGACTCTCTTATGTTGCGTTGTTTTAGTTTCAAACTCTCTTTAGCTGCTTTGTTGTATTGGAACATCCGAGTAAGATCATCTAGCTAAATATGACTTTTGAGTAATATTGTAGTATTAAGCTTATGTCCTTCTTTTGCTGTGTCTGTTTTAATGGTTGGTGAATCATGGCTCTTTTCTTCTTCCGATACCTTTACTATAAGAACCAAAAAGACAAGACTTTGAGAGAAAGGCAATGCACTTTGATCCAAATGCATAGGAACACAAACACTAAGGCCAAAATCAGTGATCTTAATGTGTCATTTTGCATCAGGAAGAACATTCTCTGGCTTCAAAACAGAAACCTTGGTATCAGAACATGCGTGTGAATGAATACTACAAATAAAGTTTGAAGTTTTTGAAAAACTGTGTATACACAGACCTTGAGGTCCCTGTGGAAAATGCCCTTGTTATGACAATAGTTTATTCCATCAATCAACTGCTGAAACCTTTTTTTCCTTCAGTCTCCGAAAGCTTCCTTTGGAGACCTGAGTTTAAATCAGATCATGTTGTTAGAAACCAAATCTTTGAAAAATGGTTTCTTGTAACTAAAAGTGTGAAAACGTTCTTTTACTGGATTTATTAAATTCATTATGAGGTCTACATGACAAAACTATTCTTTCTTTTCTTTTTGGTTTTATTTTTTTTCCAATATATAGTAGAGATTATTAGTTCTTAATACATTTTTGTGGTTTACATGGATTTGCAGCTTTTAAATTACCAGCTGCTGGTGTTGGGGTAACTTTGACAGAATTGGCATTGACCCCAGGTGACCTGATACAGGCATAAGCAGGTCTCTCAGTTAACATACACTACCTTCTAGCAAATGACATTGTTGACCACATCATCAATCTGGTTCTTTTTCATTCATATAAGCAGTTGAAATTTCAACGAGTTTTCTCAAATTTGATTGCCTCTGGTGAATTACGCTGTACTTTCTCAGTTTCTATACAGTGATGTTGTTCAGGTCAAGCTTATTCTCTATCTCTTTGTGTCATTACATATCAATTATGCTTATTGTCTGCTGCATGTGCTTGACTACTAAATCCTATCAACGTCCCAAAGGCTGGAAACTGATCAAAATGTACAAAATTTAAGCGTTTAGTCATTTTTGTCTAAGTGCTAAAGACAAAACTTGTGAACAAAACCAAGAAACAGCCTTTTATTGCAACATATATAGTGTCTTTGTCAAGACCAAAGTACAGAGAAGATGTTTATATTTATCAATGTTCCACTGGAAAATGCACACAGGAAGACAGGTCTGTACAATGAGAAAAAAACATCGCAAACTATATGCATACACCACTTTGATCATATGTTTAAAAACACTTTCAATACGAGACATAATCCAAAGACATATTCTCTGCTCTAAATTATTCACCAAAAAAACTTGTGACAATAGTTTCCACATCCTGCAACCCAACTCCTACGCAAACGGTCTTGGAAGGTGTTCTAACCGAATCAGTCATCACAGCATCAGTCTCGTTCACCACTCTAACGTTTGGACCATCTCTACACTTCCCCATGCACTTGCACGCCACTGCAGATCCTTCCATCCCCGTCATTGCCTTCTGAAACTCATCCAACAACACTGCTCCTCCTGATTTCTTGCACTTTCCTCCCATACAAACTTCCACTCTCTTCAACGGCAATCCAACAACTGGAACTGCTTCTACCGTCTTCAATGGCAATCTGGGATTAACAATCGAGGGAAAGGCTGTGGATGCAGCAGCTGATTGCAACAGAGCAAGCTTCTTAGGAATCAGAGTCTCTTGGATTCTAGGAAGGGTTGCTAAACTAGATTCTGGTTGTAACGGCTCAAGAACCGGTTTAGCCTTGTTTCTCAAAGAGCTCATGTCAACAACTTTCCCTTTGCCACAATCACTGTCACTTGATTCAGACGAAGAAGAAGAAGACGATTCAGAGTCCATTTCAGTCATCATCTTCAAAGCTTTAGCTTTCGCCTTCTCTTCCTTCCTCTGTTTCTTCAATTGCTTCTCCTCTGCTTTCAACTGATCCAGTTGCTTAACAAGAATCTCTGTTGCTTCCTGCATAATTAATTAAAAAATTCAATCATAATCCATCGCGAAATAGTCAAAACTATAAAGAGATCATTCGATTTTTCTTACCGAGATTGTCTTGCTTTGAATCTCAGCGACCAACCCAGCTTCTGGATCAAGACCAAACCCTATGCTTGAGAACATGTTCAAGTTTTTAGAAAGAGCTTTAAGAACCTTAGCCTTCTTCTTCAGCTCCTTCTTCTTTTCCTTCTCCAAAACCTTCCCCTCACCGCCACATCTCGTCGTCCCAGAATAGTAACTCATGTGACCTTTATCAGCAAAATCGTTATTACACATGATGCCGCTGAATCTCCTCGTCCGAAACCCTACCGTCCCCGTATTGCCGGAAAATCGGAGACCGGAGTAACGGCCATCGGCAACGGAGCCTGAAACAAACGGAATCTGTCGGAGAACGACGCCGGAAACTTCCATCTCTAGCTTCTGTCTGAAAACTTCGATAGAACTTGAGTTGAGCCTTGAGCGATCGTGCTTGGTTTCACGATATCCTTCAGGCTGTTGCTTCTGCTAGGAGAATTCTGGTTCTTTACGAGAGAGAAACAACAGTGAAAGCTTACGTGTTTTATTTTGATTTGTTGGTAGGTGTCGTGCGTTGCACTCAGGCTTCCCACCTGTTGTCGTAAGATTTCCACACTTTGCCGCGCTTCGAACACGCGCCAGGGGATGAAATCAGCTGTTGATTTAAACTTTTGTTAAAATCAACGGACAAGAAGCATGACAGGAGTACGTGTCAGCTTGCCACGTGGGGAATCTAATGCAAACATTGTCACGTCATAATAAAATTGTGAACAGTCAAAACCGAATATGCCGCTACAGTAATAGTATAGTATCCATTAGGTATTGTATTATGGGCAACTTGATACGAATATGTTGACTCATTATCTGGATTTATAAATCTTTTACGATTTGTATTTATTGTGATATTTATAAGTTACATGTTTAATATTTCAGATATATCAATTGGATTGAGTAAACAATAAACATGAAAGATTAGATATTAAATATCTACCGTAGTAATCTAATTTTTTTTTTTTTTTTTTTGACAACTACCGTAGTAATCTAATTAAAGTCATTAAATAGCTTAATTTTATAATGCTTTAGGTATAATTGAATGGACCGAATACTGGTAACCCATAAAATGGGGGATACACACCACATTTTTATTTATATTCAATTTCATCAAACACCTTCTCAACCGTTTGATTTTTAATCTCTTTTCGTCCCACGTAAATATTCACTACCTCATCGATCGGATCTTCAACTACTCTTTTTTCAAAGCAAGCTCTTTTTAGACCTCATGATTTTGCATCGATAAGAAAGATTTTTTTTTTACAGCGAACGGTTATTCTATTACTCAAACTTGATGTGTTCTGGTAACCAAACTAGAATAAAATAATCAATAAAATATAACTCCCTATGGAAGGATCTAGCAGTATTAGCTAAAAAATCAGATATATAATTTTGCACGCGTGAAATATAAGTTATCTTGAAGTCTGGGAAGCATATCTTGATAGTCTCTATCCTCTTTAATTTCGTTGTAAAGTTTGGCCAAGCATGAGGCTCCTTAATCATGTCGATTAGCTCCTTACAATCCGTCCCAAAGCTCTGACATGTCGAGTGTTTGAGCATATTCTCTATCACCCATCGCAGTGGTTGTACTTCTGAATGCAAGGCTGATTCACATCTAATAAAATTTCTCGTACCCATAATTTGAACCTTTACAAAGCTATCCATCCACACCCATCCACTTCCACGGAACTGTGATGTAGCTATCCATAACCCGTCTATCATGGAGATATTATCCAAACTTATGACTTGGGATTCCTTTATGTTATGATTTTGTAACACTGGTGACACCATCTCGTTTGCATTAAACCAGGCTTGACATTCGTTCTCATCATGGCGAACTAACTCCAGTGGATCTCAATGTATTCCCTTGAAGAGTTTGTCATTCCTGGCCTTTCAAATATATCATATTATCCAAGGGTAAGGATCTCTGTCTAGATCTGATTCGAGAATATTGTTCTTCCTCCAGAAGAGATCATCCATATTAGCATAAATACTATGGGTCGGAAAGAAATCTTACTCATCGGGGTCACTGAAAGGGACCATACTTGAAGAGCTGGTGGGCATTCAAATAAGGTGTGAGTTACAGATTATTCTAGTTGTCCACATCTTGGGCAATAATTATCACACCTCATGTTACGTCGTACTAAATTCTTCGTGACTGCCACATAACATGTTATCAGTTGCCATATAAGATGGCGTTTCTTTTTAGTCGCTTTTATCTTCCAAGCAAAGGCTTGGAGTTTGGTGATACTTGGCTCAATCACTTCCTTTTCTTCCTCTCTCTTTAATAAGTTTTGAGTTACCCAATATCCATATTTTACCGTGTATTGTCCATTCCTAGTGTAGTTCCAACAAAATGTATCTCGTCGATGAGTTGAGCTTATGGCCAAACTCCGAATAAGAGGTATATCTTCCGGCCTGATATAACTCTCCAGTAAACCAACATCCCATTCTTTAGATACCTAATTAATAAGGTCACTGACCCTCATATTCAGATACAAAACAAGGACTAAAGGAATATGCAGCTTTGCAGGTGTTGTAGGGACCCACAGATCCTCCCACACCTTAACTCCATATCCAAAATGTATCTTCTGGCTGATTTCCATAAGCAGTAGCTTCAGCGCGGCAGAAAGACTAGACTACAAATAAGATGGATTGCTTAAAGAATTTACTTTTAAAAGTCAACTCAGTCTATAATATCTTTCCTTCAAGACACGTGCCACTAACGAATCTAGGTTTTGAACTAATCTCCATAGTTGTTTGTTAATAGTGCCAGATTTAACTCATGGATCATACGGAAACTGATCCCACCCTCCTCCATTGGTAAACAAACTTTTTCCCATTTTGCTCAGTGAATTCCTCTCTTCGGGTCCACCACAATTGAGCTATGGCACTCGCAAGATTCTCACGTATCTCTAGTGGTAGTAAGAAGCTAGACATAACATATGTTGGAAAATCTAGCAGTATAGACTTAATCAACACTTCCTTAATTTCCTCCCTTTGAGAGCCATCTACCGGTCCATCCATTCACCCTATGCATCAGCTTGTCTTTGAGAAGCTTGTCTTTGAGAAAAGCAAAAAGTTTGCATTATAATCCGCTAATATCCTCTGGAATTCCTAAGTATGTTCCCATTCCTCCTTCATTTTGGATTTCAAGTGTATCTTTAATTCTAAACAACCTATTTCACCACCAGATATATAGTATAGTAACAAATCCACACAATCTTTTATGTTTTTCCTAATTGCATACATTTAAAGTTACCGGACCTATAACTCCCTAGTTCGGAAGATCGAAACCTGAATCCACATAATGTTTTAGATGAGAACTAAAACCAACACTTAGATGATTTGAAACCATTTACTATTTCTCAATTTTAGTTTTAACCATGTTTTCTTAACGATTAGTGATATACCATGATTTTGACCCACTTTTAGTCATGGTATTGATATGTTTTTATGATAATTATATATGTTTTGGAGTATATTTAGAGTATTTACAGGTTCAGGTACGTCCTGGTGAAATATGGTGATTTTGGTCTCTTTTGGAGCCCTTAAGTGGAAAACTGCGCAGATGCGTCAGATGTTTAGATATGTATGGAGACCTTTCCATGGTGAGATTTAGCCCATCTTTTGACACAAGATAGAGCTTTGAGTTAGCTTTCCAATGCCACCGATGTGAGGTCAATCCAACGGTTAGATCAGAAGTTATGCCCGTTTTACTGAAGAATGGTCAGTCTGCCTCGCGAGAGAAGGTTGTCGAGAAGATATGTGCATGTCGATCGATGGGAGACACTTCATATCGGTCGATATGAATGCTAGAACTTGGTCTGACTATATTTCATAACCGACTGAAAACCACAAGTTACCAAAATACCCTTGACGACCAGAAACCATAGTTATGATATTTATAAGCCATTGTTGACGGCTACATGCTATCTAAACTTTCTTTGATTCATTGTTCTTTATTAGGAGAGAAGGGAGGAACTCCTATCAAAGCCCTCCTAGAAATCCATTGGTTTTTATATCTATTGCAATTTCTTATTTATTCATCTATGATTTCTGTGACAATCTTCATGTCTGAATAGATCCACCTGTTGGATTTAGGGTTCAGATAGGTTGTGGGATTAGCCCCAACTATAGATTGCTAAGAGCAGGTGCAACGGAGGTCCAAGAAGAATCCTTAGCGTGACTTCATAGGCCGAGTCCATTAAAAAAACAATAAAAATGGGCCTTTTTGCAAGGAGCAGTCCGTCTGGAGGAGGTTTAAGGATCAAGTCCTTAGGACAGGTGGCGATGTCTTATTGGAAAGGCGATACTTTGCGTTTTGTTACCTCGGCAAAAAACATCATTCAACCAAAGGTGATAAAAAAAAAAAAACTCTCGACGAAACAAAGGCGATTTTGATATCTCTCGATCCGTCTCCTTCCTTCGAGATTCAGAGGTAAATCGAAGCCTCGTCTTGTAGATTTATGTTTGTAGATTGTTTACATGTAGTTTTCCTCTCGATTTAGGGTTTCGTTTTGTTTTTTTCAATCGATTTGGGGATTTTCGATTGAAATTAGGGTTTCAATGATTTGGGGTTTTCAGTCGATTTGGGTAAGTTTTGGTTAGTAATTACGGTTTCAATACTGAAATAGGTTTCAATTGAAGAAGTTACGCTTTCGTTAATCTTCTTGTTCGTCTACGGGTTTTAATCGATTTTTACAAACTCGTTTTGTTTTGTTTTTGGGATTATATTTGTTTGGCTTGTACTCGTTTTGTTTTGTTATGGGATTTTATACTTGTTTTTTTTTTGTTACGGATTACACTTGTTTGGTTTTTGATCTCTTTTTCTATATTCATTGATCGTATCCGTGTGATTGTTGTTGTTTATCTAGGCTTACATGAATTTTTAATTTCAGGTTAAAGAAACATGGGACAAGACTACAGCTACACCCAACCTTCCTCATCTGATGAGTTCGATATTACATCACTTCTTGAAGCTGAAGCTGCTTTGTACGCCGATGAAGGTGATAGTAGCTACAACCCACCTCAGCCGGTTCAGTACCCACCTCCGCAAGTTCAGTACCCACCTCAGCCTGTTCAGAACTTGTGTGGAGGACATGCTACTGCGGAGGAGATGCGTGACTTTCAGACTCAGCTCTGGCTGCTTAGGAATCAAGTTAGTGAGTGCGACCAGAACCTGGCTACGCTCTTGAAGACTGTGTCTGATGAGTTAGCCATGATGAAATCATGGGTTACAAAATCATTTGCAGTGGAAGTTTGTCTTCTGTTCTGCGTTGTAGTTCTAATAGCGGTGATAATTCTTGGAGGTTAGTTTCAGTCCTTTGTGGGTTTTGAATGTTCTCTGTAAAAGTTTTAAACCTTTCACATGTTTAATTTGATGTTTTTTCAGGAACAGCCTCGAAGGATTTCGATGAGAGTATATGA